AAGAGGACGGACTTCAGCAGGAAGATGCAGAGTGCAAGAATCTCAAACTAGGGAGTGGTTGTATCAGACAGAGATTGGAAATGTTGACAACTGAAGCATAGATAAGGTTGTCAACCTTCAGATGGTGCCTGGAGACCTCCCAGAATTACACCTGATCTCCAAACTACAGAGATCAATTCACCTGGAGAAAATGGCTGCCTTGTTGGGTGAATTCTGTGGCATTATACATAAGAACATAAAAAGAGCCTTCCCCTGATGTTGTCTCCTCACTCTGAGATTCAGAAGGTTAGTGCCTCTGAATGTGGAGGTGGAACCTAAGCCTCTGAATCCCAGAGCCAGGAGACAACAGCAAGGGAAGGTCTCGGCCTCTATGCCCTGTGGTTGGCCATCTAGAGGAACTGGTTGACCACACTGTGAGACATGATGCTGGACTAGATGATTGATTTGATTGATTGATTGATTGGGCTTATATCCTGCCTTCCCTTGCAAGCAGGCTCAGGTCAGGTCACAACAGATGGATAATGCCACAGAATCCACCCTCCCTCCGGCAGCCTTTTTCTCTGGGGGAACTGATCTCTGTAGTTTGGAGATCAGCTGTAATTCTGCAAGATCTCCAGGTGCCACATGGAGGTTGACAATCTTATCTATGCCTCAAGTTGTAAACATTTCCAGTCTCTGCCTGTTACAGCCACTCCCTAGTTTGAGATTCTTGCACTACATCTTCCACTGTTCTGGTGAATTCCCTAGCCCTCAGAAGTGGCCTTTCAGGGGAACAAGTGACTGCAGTGGGGAAGGCATGTTGTACAGACAGATCTCCACTTCTACTTGTCTTGATCCAAACTGATAACATGCCAGCAGGTCAATCCTAAGAACACTTCTTTGAGAATAAGCCCCACTGAGTAGACTTGAGCAAGACGACGCTGCAAGTACAGGTATTCTCTGTTTATCATACTAGAAACTGTTGGAATTAAGCTTCTTGACAACAGCAGTTTCACTGCCTGGCCAGTTTGATTCTTGCTAGCAACCAGTTCAGTTCAATATTTCCTTCTGATGTACCTTTACAAATAAAATAAGGACACGTGTTGGACATGAGCCTTCTGTGTGGTTTCCTCTTCATGAAGAAATTGTATTGTGAAGAAAATAAATTGTATAGTGTAGAAATTGTACAGTGAAGAAATTGTACTGAGATCCCAGGAGAGAGAAAAAACACTGTAAAATGTGGATACAGAGAGTATTAGCCAAGAAAGCTACAGAATATGCCTAGTTAAAGTACTGCATTTTGTGGAAGAAACTGATATTTTTGTGAATTGCTTGGTTTAGGAAATGCTACTTGTTGAAATTGCCCCAGGCTCATAGGCTAATTTTTGGCATTAAAATGTACACAGACCATACAGTTTATATATAGACTAACAGTGAAACTTTGCGGTGTATCTACTTTACAATGAAAACAACAGGAAACCAGTTAATTTTTGTGTAGTAGTGCAGTAGAGTTGATTATTACCCTTGTTTATAGACAAAAACTTAAGAAATGTTTCACTTTTTAAAATTATCTTTTAGGCCATCATTCCAGTGTTTACAGAAAATATTCGTGATGGGTATAGGACACTTGGAGATATATGTAAGTGTTCCATATATGGTTTCTTAACTTCTAAGACTCTTGACTTTGACTAAATATTTAACTTACTTCACTTTTGTGATAAATATTTTTTTTAGAAATGTCTGCTATTTTCTTGCTTGATTCTTTATTTTCCTAGGGTATAGATTAAAGTTTTTTACATGTTACATTTGTATTTCAATTTCACAAGAACAGGAGCAACTGCCATACAACTGATTTCTAATAATTTGATTTATTTAATATGAATAAGGCCCATTGTGGAAATAAATACAATTAGCTCTAGAAAGAGGCTCTAGGAGAGTGACCCAGCCTTGGGCACTCAGTGTCAATTTGCTGTGGTGATCTCAGCGGGGTATAATGACACAGAGTCCAGCATTTTCTCCAGAGGAACTGATCCCTACTACCTGAAGTGCAGTTGTAATTTTGAGTTATCTCCAGCTCTCCACTGGAGATTGGCAACAATGGTTCTCCAGGAGGAAATGGCTGGTTTGGAGGGTGGAGTCTATGGCATTATACCTGCCTGAGGTCCCACCCCTCCTCAAACCTCACCCTCTCCAAGCTCCACCTCTCAAATCTCCAGGAATTTCCCAACCTGGACTTAGCAACCCTATCTCCTTTCCAGCCAACCATCAGTCTATCTTTATCTACCCCTATGACTTCAGCTTTACGTCTCCTCCCCCTCCCTCCTGGAAAGCAGTTGTAATTCTCAGTGATCTCCAGCTCTCACCTAGAGATTGGCAACGATAGTTCCTCAGGAGGAAATGGCTGGTTTGGAGGGTCTGTCTGAGGTCCCACCCCTCCTCAAACCTCACCCTCTCCAGGCTCCACCCCTCATACCTCCAGGAATTTCCCAACCTGGGGACAAAGGGTGGCACTAGGGGAACAGCAGTCCCGGAGACACCCGCTCGAATGCGGGGTGCCTAGGGGGCAGTGCTTTCCCTGATTTTGTTTAACATCTACATGCACCCCCTTTCCCAGATTGCCCGGAGGTATGGGCTTGGGTATCATTAATATGCAGATGACACCGAGCTCTATCTGATGTTGGGCGGCCGGTCAGGCTCCAGTCCAGAAGACCTGCACCAGGTGTTGCAGGCTGCGGCTCGTTGGCTCCAACTGAGTTGGCTGAAGCTAAACCCAGCAAAGACGGAGGCCCTGGGCCTGAGTCGGGGTGGTCTGGGGTTGGGGCTCCCGCTCCTTACCTTCAATGGGGTGCCTTTGGTGCCAGCGCCAGAGGTTAGGAGTCTGGGAGTGCTCCTGGACTCCTCGCTAACTATGGAGGCCCAGGTGGCAGCCACTGCTAAGTCAGCTTTTTACCATCTTCGGCTGGCTCGGCAGTTGGTTCCTTTCCTCGACCGCGATGACTTGGCCACAGTGATCCATGCAATGGTCACCTCGAGGTTAGACTACTGTAATGCTCTCTACATGGGGCTGCCTCTGTCACAAATCCCTGGTGGAATGAGCTCCCAGAGGAGATCCAGACCTTGTGCAGTTCCGCAGGGCCTGCAAGACGGAGCTCTTCCGCCAGGCTTTCGAGTAAGAGCCGCCACTATCGTACCATCACTATTTTACCATCATTACCAACTGGCCCTGGGAAGAGAGAATGACAGTGTCATGTGGAACTGACAGCACTGATTGGGTGTACCATTTTTGAGACGTCATCTTTATGGAAGATTATTCTGGAACATCTAAAGCACTTAATATGTTGTAACATTGTAGTAATTATTTTATATTGTTTTAACCTGTTTTTATGTGTTGGCTTACGCCTATCTGAGCCGCCCTGAGCCCGCTTCATGGGGCGGGCGGGCTATAAATTGAATTTATAAAATAAATAAATAAATAGTAGTAAACACCTGAGAAAACTATAATCCTAAATATACATACATAGGAATGCATACCACTGTTCCTAGTGATATGCTTTTCCTTTTAAAAATACTCAAGACTGGCCTGAAAGGCTGTCTAAAAAGTCCACTCTTCAGTGAGGAACTACAATATTTTACCACATGTAAAAACTTGTGGCTTAGACCCATTGAAGCATTTCTGCGGATTTCTACTTGCGGATTACAACTTTCTCATCTGCCCCTTCCACTGAAGCCCCCCATTCCCCCGCCCCCAAATGAGCAGCATTTGATGGAACATTTTGGGCCACAGAAGGAACAATAGCTGAGAAAACTGTGTTCCATGAGCAGAAATCCTTTCATCAGAAGAAACACTCCAGTGATCCAAGCCTGTATGTATACACAAATTGTATACTAATGCTTCTGCTGCCTGGTTCACATGATGTTGGTGTGAAGCTCCTTCACATGAGTGTAAGGGAAGGCATAAGAATGTTTTAAAAGCAGGGCTGCAATCAATTAGATCAACAAAGGCTCCTGCCATACGGCAGGGAAACCACGAAGCAAAAGTGCGGCTAATAGAGCCGCTCCAACGTTGAGACGCTGCGGCGAGATCCCACGGATCCCCTGGCCGCAGCGCCTCTTCTCCCCGGCAAGAGCAGACGCCGGGGAGGACGAGCCCGATGGGAGGGGGAGGCCAATAGCTGAGAAAACTGTGTTCCATGAGCAGAAATCCTTTCATCAGAAGAAACACTCCAGTGATCCAAGCCTGTATGTATACACAAATTGTATACTAATGCTTCTGCTGCCTGGTTCACATGATGCTGGTGTGAAGCTCCTTCACATGAGTGTAAGGGAAGGCATAAGAATGTTTTAAAAGCAGGGCTGCAATCAATTAGATCAACTAATTCAAACTAAAATAGGGCAAATTAAAACCCTGACTTGGGATGGTCCAGGCTAGCCCAAAATCTGGGAAGTTAAAGTATCTTCAAAAGCACCATAGTTACGATCATAGAAGCATCACTGAAAAACATTTGGAGGTAACTTCTGTCAAGGTTCCCCTGACAGCTGAATTGCACATATTCAAATAATAGAATGGTTTAAAATTACTTTTTGTTTCTGAATATCTACAAAATGTCCTCTTTTATACTACACAAGATGCTACATATATAAGCAGCCAGGAAAGCCACAGATTCCATTCACAATTAGATTACCCAGTGCTCCTCCTGTATCAGTGAGAAGCAATGAACCTATTCCAACCAACCAAGGAAAGGGTACATTTTCAGCTCTGTGTACTCCAACTGAGTGTTAGATATGATGCCACCTGCTACCCTATTATAGAGCAAAGGTACTTAGACATAGGTAGGGCAATGATAGTTTGCACAACAAAGCAATCTAGGGATGCCAGATCCCCCGGCTAGGGGTGGGTTTTTTTTTCCTGCTGCCAGGCCCCACCTCTCTGCATTACTCCCCCCCCCCAAAAAAGCATGGAATGCTTCTACCATCGAGTTTTTGCCCAGAAACCAGGGCATCACCCCCAACACCCCTGACGTGCCTTCGTCACTTCCAGGTCATGTAGGCACATCGCTGAAATGCCGGGCATTCTGCCCTGCTCCCGGTAACTGCACCCCCCATTCCCCACCGGCTGGTCAGAGGGACCTGGCACTCCTAAAGCAATCAGAGGAAGCACAAAATAATGGCTGAAATGTTCATGTACATTGCAAATGCATTCCTCTTCATTCTCTTCTGTGTTAACAGCTATCAGATGCTAACATAAAAAGTATAAGAGTCAATTTGAGACACATTAAAATGTTTAGAACCTGTTATGCACTAGGGTAGCAGGAAGACAGTATACTAAAAAAAAAAGAGACATTATTAACTGGCTTCTAGACAGCAGCAGCCATTTTAGGTGGGCATCCACAGTATTGGGTACTGGGTGTAAACGTCTCTGAATCAGACACGTTATATGCTGACTACATCTTCCTATCCCACATTAAGACTTGGAAAAATAAAAATTTTTGACTGAGCGATGCCCGTTGACATCTAAAGCTTCTCTTATAATATTTCCTTATGTTCTTGGTGTTTTATTTGTCCTTAGCTCTCAAAATATTACTCCAATTGTTATTCATTCCACAGGGCCACTGAGATGTCTGTATGAGCACACTCGATTACCACTTGTTCCTGTTTATGGATTTTTTCCTGTCAAGTTTCGCACACATATAGGAGAGCCCATAGCTTATGATCCAAACACAACTTCTGATGAACTAGCTCAGAAGGTAAGGGACTTCTTAAAAAAAATAAATTTGGAAATGTCAGCTATTTTAACATGTTGGGCATTCCATGTAGAAGGTAAGAGAAAGAAGAACTCCCGCTTTCACTGTTAGTGATTTCATATGCACTATCTCCATCAATTGCCAGTATCATTACAATGGAAGAAATGCAGTAGCTTGATTATAGGTGAGAATGGCATGCTACTGCAGTAAATTTTCCAGATGAAACAATGAACCATGACTATTAACCTTTTTAAAGAAAAAAATAAATGCCTTACAAGGTTCAGGACTCAGGGTACTTTTGCAGATAACAGGTGGAAACAAATTCTATTCCAGTTACTTTTTGTTACAAATTGTCTTAATCAATTATAGAGTGTATTGTAACGTCAACAAAATGGAATACCTTGAGTGGTGATCTATTTTTTAAAATGGATAAACAACAAATAACATAGAAGCAAGAATACCAAACAAAGGGGGCACACTAATCAGGAAGCAATCTAAGTACAGGGTGTGACACAAGGGCCGCATTCAGACTGGCAGTTTGAAGCGCTAGGGTGGCAAAGAAGACCTGGAACAGACCCTGAACGGCTTGTTCCCGGTATTCCCGTTCACAGTGCAGCGAATGAAGCGGGAGGATACTGTGGAGGAAGCGCAAGGGAGTGTTCGCACTGTCATCCGCCCCTTGCGGGCTGTTAGTGCATTTTCTGTACTCGGCTGCATGTGCCTATGCGCACAATCCTAATGAGTTTCTGCTGTTAGGTGTGGCCTGCTATACTAATGAGTTCCTGCTGGGTGTGGCCAACTTGGGAGCCAGCCAGAACTCCGTTCCTGTGCGTTCCTGCCCCAAAATAGCCCTGGGGCACACTAATCAGGAAGCAATCTAAGTACAGGGTGTAACACAAGGGACACAAGACTGGCAGTTCGAAGCGCTAGGGTGGCAAAGAAGACCCGGAACAGACCCTGAACGGCTTGTTCCCGGTATTCCCGTTCCCGGTGAAGCGAATGAAGTGGGAGGATAACGTGGAGGAAGCGCAAGGGAGTGTTCACACTGTTATCTGCCCCTGGCAGGCTGTTAGCGCATTTTCTGTACTCGGCTGCATGTGCCTATGAGCATGGGCGCAGCAGCAAATAGGGCAGGATCGACTCCACACTTCCACTAGTGCCAATGTCTGACCTTCTCCAGGATGGTCCTTGCGCAGCCGCCATGTTGCCGGTTTGTCTCCTGGTTGACTGCCTGGGTGGAGCTTTTACTCGGCATGCCAGAGCATCCTGGTCATGCGCACATGCGCAGATGCACCTGCTGCAGAATCAGCTGGCGCCTATTATCAACTGTGGGTTGTTCCCGCCTTAGCAGCGCTTGCGTTCACACTCAGGGAACCGGAATCAACCCATGCTCCACACGGTTTGCTACCACTTCCACCAGGTATCTTTTAAACTCGGGAGGGAAGAGGCGTAAAACGGCTTGAGTATGGCTGGGGGATGCCTGAAAGGTGTGCCTGTGTGAACCCGCCCCTTTAATCTGCTAATGAAACGCTCCTGAAGCGTTTGGCTGCCGGGCCAAACTGCCAGTCTGAACACGGCCTATGTTCTTCTTGCCTCTTCAGGTGCCAAAGTTGCCTTCTGCAGCCGAGAACTGATCAGTAAGACTAGGAGCCAAGTTACAGAAGGCAAGGTTCTTGAGCAGAAGATCTCCTCCAGCAAGGGGGAGGGGTTGTTCAGTTGAACAGCTAGGAAACAAAGATCTTGCAATAGCAATTTCCCAATGATAAAGGTTAATATACCTGGCCTGTGGGGCCCAATGTCCAACTTATGTTTCCAGTGCTACTTTATGACTGGCAGACTAGTTTTATGAGCGTCTGCCAACAACTGCATATGGCAAATTAGTTGTCTGGACCTGCATTATTCTAGTGCCTGGATGTAAAGAGAATCCTCAAACAGGGTGGCCCACCTGCTAAGCAGCCCTCAGCTAATGCCTAGAGCACCAGGGGGGACCCCAGCACCACTTTATGTTCAGTGGCTCAGGAGACTCTCCAGCTAGATGTCTCCTAAGCCAGTCACTGGGCTCTGGCTTCAATTGCTCACCAATGTGGTGGGAGAAAGTGCAGGGGAATTGTGTTGGAATCCAGAAGGAATGCCTCCCTGCCCAGATTTCTTTACCAGAGAGATTTTAGAGGTTCCTAGAACATCACCCAGAAGAAGGGTCCCTTCAGAAGAAGAAGGGTTCCAACGCAGTTCCCTCTTCTTACTCCTGCTGGTTCAGTGGTGAGTCCCAAGTCGACTGGCTGGCAGCTTGGGGTACACATTGGTGGGCAGGGCACTCTGCCTGGCCTGTCTAGGGCACTGAAAGCTTTGTACTCAAATGGCTGGCTGCTTGTATCTAGGCAACAAGTGCGCAAACTGAAATACGGAGCTAAGACAATAGCTATCAAGAATACATATGGAAAAGTCTGAAACTGGAGACCCTTCAGCCTTAGTCATAACAGAACTTAATGGCAAGGAGGATCCTTATGAAGGAGAAGAACTAAGATGAGCAAGGGCCTGTACTTCACATTCTGGCTAGGGACTGTTGAAATTTTCTTTTCTAAGGATGACTCTATGGGATCCTGTACTAAAGGGCACAGAGTGAGAAGGTATAGTGGGTCCATAACTGACCCACAGTTTTAACTTGCTACTCTGTCTCCTTCTATGGAAGAGTGGCTACAAAGGATCACGTATTTCAACTTCTTTCTCTGAGGGGATCCTTTCACATTCGGTCCTTAGGCCATAGCACACCTAATAACTAGCTTTCGCAATCTCTCAGAGACACTGAATAGGCTGAACAAAATAATTCACAATAACATAAGTTAAAGTGACACTAGATAAAATCACATTTATCGTTTTTCAAAGGCATGAAGTGAAATTCTAGAAAACAGGTACTTTCTCTATATAATAGCTTAATGTGTAGTTTTACACTGCTAAAAAGAAGCCAGCTCATATCTGTGGTACAGGTGGAGGGACATTTATTTGATTGGCAAGAACATCTAACTTGTAAGGGCCTCTGCCACCAGCTTTGACACTGCTGTTCTGCGGGCTCTTGTAGTGCTGACGTAGCTACAAGTGGGTGTGATGAGGCAAGTCCCTCTTCCACACATTTCCACAGCACTGTAATCATTCTTTGTCCAAAGCAGAGCATACACACTTATATTTTGCAAGCCAAGTTACATAGGAGTTGTTTTCAAGGAACAGACACAAATGGTTCCGGTACAGCCACTTTTGATGGGGAACACTGGGCATCTTAGGGCCAAATAAGATCTGACACAGAATTTGTGAACACAGCTTCTGGCATTCCCCGCACCCCCTTTTGTTCAAATAACAGGCATGTAGGAGGTTGATTTCAATCATAGCTGCAGTGTAAGAGAAGAGGAGGTTGAAGCCATCTTTTCTGACCCTCAGACACAGAAACTTCCAAATGGTTGTCCTACCATGCTAGGGTTGCAAACTCTGGGTTGCGAAATTCCTGGACATTTAGGGGTCGAGCCTGGGGTTTGTGGGAGCAGGACCTCAGAAGGGTATAACACCATAGAGTCAACCCTCTGAAGCAGACATCCCCCCCCCCAAGAAGTGATCTCTGTAGCCTGGAGATCACTTGTAATCCCAGGAGACCTCCAGGCTCCAGTGGAGGTTGCAACCCTGTATTGTACTTCCTTCTGAATTCCCCTTCCAGGCCAAGGAGTCAGCTTTCCTCACACTATTGAAACATTCCATGTCAAACAAGCCCCCCCTCCCGGTTGAAACACTCCACATGCCAGTGCATTTCTAGAAAGAAAATCATGAATTAACATCATAGACTGGTTTAAGCACAAACTGACTAGACTTGTGTGTAAAAATGCCCATATATCAAGGCTACTATTTAAACATTTAGTTAATGTTTTCTTGTACTAGGAATAGAGACACTAGTAGTATAACTCTGTCATGTAGCTCACTGAGTAATTCGGGGTCAGTTACTCTCTATCAGTCAGGTTGGAGGGTTAAATGAGTGACAGGTTGCAGTATAAGACCACTCTGAACTCTTTGGAATAATAGTTGTAATGAAGGGATCTGTTCATTCTATTACGAGAGATGTATAAAAGATGTTCATTTCTTTTTTCCTCTTTGTAGACAAAAATTGCAATAGAAGCTCTAATACGCAGACATCAAAAACCTCCTGGAAACTTAATAAGAGCTATATTGGATAGATTTGATAAGCAACAGAAATCAGACTAAGGTAAAAAAAATCAGGTAATAATTGATAATGTGTCAAATTTCATAAAAATATTTTTAAAATGTCACTAAAATATAACAATAGGATTTGAGATATGGGGAACAGACCAAACTCAACAGTGAGAATGGAGTTCCAGGCATTGTTCTTTAAATAGCTGCTTGTGAGCAGCAAGCCCATTTATAGCAGAACCCTGACATGAGGGAAGGGCAGCTTAAGACCCCATCTAAATTGGGCCAGTGAGTTACTATTTATTTTTTTAAAATGCTTGGAGCATTATTCTCACAACTCCCAATGTCATACGTAGTTTGACTTGTAGTCAAATGTTTATGTATAGGTTTGCCCAGTGTTAATGCAAATTTGCTTATCAAAATGTTTACTTCACCCAAGATTGCTTCATCTTTATATTGAAACTATTTGGCAAACTGGATAAGGGCTTCAGAACAGTTGTAATTATTGTGAAACAATTTCACACCATCGGTACCAGATATGCTTACCAATTAAGCATTTTTAACTTGCTGTTACAATTTTTTCCTTTTGCATTACTTATATTGTGATGACACCTGCTGGTTTACAAGAATATGACAGCCATGAAAAATTCTGGAGACAGTTCATTGTGATTCAAATATATTTTCCCTTGTATCTTGCCTAAAATTTCTAGGGTGTGTATTCCACCTTGAATCTCGGTAACCAAGGTGGACTGTATATAATGTAAATAAATAAATTATGCTGTCCCAACATTAGACCTCTGACCCCCCCAAACTATTTCTAGGGTCCCCCATCCCCTTGGAACAGCATTTGGGGTGATTAGGCTGAAGTGGGGTGAGGAAGTGATGATGCAGGTGAGATCTAAGCCGTAGTCTTAGAAGTTTATGACTTGCCCTTACTGTTGTTGTTGTAGATTTTCTGGGTTGTATGGCCGTGGTCTTGGCATTGAGAACTCTGAGAACTCTTATGTTGACATCTTTCTGTATTATACCTCTGAGGATGCCAGTCACAGCTGCTGGTAAAACATCAGGTACTACAATGCCAAGACCATGGCTATACAGCCCAGAAAAGCTACAACAACTAATGAACTCCGGTTGTGAAAGACTTCGACAACATATTGCCCTTACTTTGTTGTATAGTATCAAATTAGTTTTCCTCCTTGTTGTCCAAAATACTTATAATAGAAGGACGTCCTATTAGAAATGCAGGCGGTTGGCTCTAAAATGTGAACTTTGCACAATTCCACTTTTAAAAAAAATAGTGTCTCAAGAATCACATTTCTGCCAAGATTGTGAAGTTGCCCTGTTCTGGATTATGAAGATTCTGTCTAAAAGGTACCCAGATGAATAAATATACTGAGATATAATCGCAAAATTCTCATGTAATAAAGGAGGAGAAGCAAAGCAAGAATAGAAAGAGGGATAGCATGAGACATCTGTGAAGAAGGAGGAGGAGGAGGGGGGGGGAGATTGGATTTATACCCTGCCCTTCACTCAGAGTCTCAGAGCAGTTTACAAACTCCTTTCTTTATCCCTCCCCACAACAGACACCCTGTGAGGTAGATGGGGCTGAGAGAGCTCTGACAGAAACTGCTTCTTTTCAATTACACCTCTGACAGGACTATGATTTCCCCAAGGTCATCCAGCAGCGGCAAGTGGAGGAGTGGGGAATCAAACCCGGTTCTCTCAGATTAGAGTCCACACATTTAACCACTACACCAAACTGGCTCTGTGCAGAACAATCATGAAGAGGTTGTCCTTAGTGATGGTTTTACATTACTTGGGGAGGGGGGAACAAAAGTGATGTCATTCCTTTCTAGGACTCTCTGAGAACTCTTATGTTAAATGAAAGCAAACTAAAACCCAGATGTGAATGATCAGCCAGGAACAAAGTCTGATAAATGACATATTATGGATTGTACCTCTTCCCCCCCCCACATGACAATTACTCACAGATAATGAAAAAATAATAATCCATTGGTTTAGAAACACCATTATGAACTGAAAATCAAGAAAAGCTATGAGTTACCCTAAAGCAACTTGCATAAGCCACCTTATTTTCTTCTGAAATTCCTCAATGGAATCCTTTTATCAGGGTAACCTCCAATCAATTCCCAGAAAAGAAAAGTCAAGGAGAAAAGGAAAGACACAACCACACTTTAGAAGATAACAAAATCATAAAGAAGTAAAACAATCAAGCAATCCAAGTAACAGGAAAAGAAACAGAAAGAAGTAAATCAATACAAACAGCAGAAAAGGAAAGGGAGGGTGGAAAAGCAGGTCTTGAGGTGAGATAAAGATTGAAAACTTGAGAGGAAAATTTGATTCTGGTGTATTCTGTTCTATGCCTAGGGTATCTTTTAGGCATCCCCCCCCCACTGATCAGAGGCAGCCCCAGACCATTCATGGTCATTCTAGTGGCATCTCACACCCATGCAATGGCACAACAGCAGATAACTAAGAGAAAATGATCCTTTAGAAGAAACTCAATTATTTAAGTACTGAACAGATATCTTCTCCTTGCAGCAATATCCTTACAGTCAATACTCTTGGTAGTTGGAGATTTGATAATTAGAAACATAGACTTACAATGGGCATTTTGACTGCATAGTAAGTAGTTGCCTGGTACAAAGGCTATAGACATCATACATATATAGAGAGACTGGTTGTGGTGTTGGTGTTAATAGGCATAATACATATTGGCATCAAAAATATTGGAACAAGTAATGAAATACTGAAAGATTTAGGTTGCTAAGTAGATGCTGAACTTCAGTGGCTCCATTTCAGAAATTCTACCTGTTTCACACACAGAGATTGAGCGGCTGAGACAGTGATGTTCATAGGAAGCCACTGTAGAACAGCTTACGACAAGCAAAATCTGTACAAAAGAATTTCCAGCTGAACTGAAATAGAATGAGAATGCTGGTGCCAAAATATCAAATAGCAGACTTCAAATCAACTTCTGGAGAAAGCCAATAGGAAATCAAGGGCATCCACTTCAAAATGACCCATCATCAATGAAAAACAGTGTAACTGTTCCAGATCATCTCAGTTGAGCTGGTAGGGTTGCCAGCCTCCAGGTGGGGCCTGGAGATATCCCGCTTTTACAACTGATCTTCAGCTGACAGAGATCAGCTCCCCTGGATAAAATGGCTGATTTGAGGGGTGGACTCTATGGCATTGTACCATGCTGAGGCCCCACCCTTCCCCCAACCCCACCCTTTCCTGGATCTACCCCGAAGTCTCCAGGTATTTTCCAACCCAGACCTGGCAACCCTATGGGCTGGGCTATAACTTGTCAGTGGATGTGCAGAAGGAAATGGCAGCTACCTGAAAGTCAGAGCAAAGTGCACACAAAAAAGGGCATTTGAGAGGAATGTAACACAAAAGTATTTATATTCTACTATTCAAAGCTTCCAAGCAAAGTTTCTTGGCACTGAATAAAAGAAAATGATTTAGTGGGTATTTTGGAAACCTAATGATCAGTGAGAATTAGTGGAATGGGGATGTTCCTGGATATAAACTCTATAAAAAGGATAGAGAAAGATTCATCATGATGGGGTTGTTCTGAATTTCAAACTGGGTACACAGCAGCTCTCAAAGTGGGGTAGAATGCCATTCCTTTTCTTTTTTCAATGGATGAAAACCATGCTAGTAGGGACTAGAGTCTCACTTGGCCTTGTTGGCTTTTCATAACTTCAAGAGTCACATCTTTGTCCTGTTAGCAAGGCTTGCTCAAAATAGGCTCTGCTGAGCTTGGGGTTTCAGCTGATGAGGAAAGAAGGAAACTGTTTCTGGGTAAGGCTAGATGGAAATTGCCTGTTTCCTAATCCTTCTAGGCTTGCCCATGCCAGAGCTATTTAGTGAGCTTGGCTGAGGGAGAAAAGCACTAAGGAAACAGTTTCCTCATCCTCTGAGGACTCATGTTTCCTAAAGCTGTATCTTTAAGTGCCTCCCTCTGCAATGCCTGTCTATTTCTCCCAGTTCTTCAATCTGGGCAAGGCAAGACAATGGGAACAGGTCCGTGTTGACTCACTTCTTGCCCTAACCCTGAAGTGACGAAGTGCACCTATTAGGGAACAAGAATATCTTTTTGAAGGTCTATTTTTGAAGGAATTAAATGTCTAATATCAGGCTACATTAATTAATATTTATGAATTAGTATATAGTATCTCTTTTCTTGGGAATGACTGATAACTGATTTCCAACTCTGAATATCTAACTCACATTTACTTTCAAATACTTTCTGCAGCAGTTATCTATCAATCTATGAACTGACCACAGGCTAAATTGTCTGGCCTAATTTGAAGCAAAATCATGCCACTTCCTTCCTTCCTTTCACTTGGGACACTAGCAGAGTCCAGTAAACTGCAAAATTGAAAAGGGGCCAGTCCCTCCACAAAATGACTTTTAACGGAAATACCAGGGTCAAAAAAGCAATTTAGTACTACTGCAGACATATTACTGTTCTTTTTCTCCAAAGTCTGAGAGTGATCTTGAGAGTTGCATAGGAAGCCAAAACAGAAAGCGTTGTTTGTAAATAATTATGGGTAACCTTTACTTTCACAATGTCTGAGTAAGCTTTTGTTCAGGTAATGGCAGAAAGACAACTTATCTAAAGTCCCTGGAACCTTTAGTCAAGGAATCTCTCTTTATCCCTCTCTTTCTCTCACTCACATGCACACTCACGCACTCACGCACACACAATCAATTGATGAACAGTAGATTTGGCCATGATGGCCAAATACAATCTGTGCAGTAAGATACCGCATATTTCTGAATACTACTTCCTGGCAAAGGAAAGGTGACAACAGAGGACGGCTATTGTCCTCATACTCCACTTATGGTTTGCAGATAATCATCCAGTTGGCCACTACAGGATGCTGGATTAGATGGATCTTTGGTCTGATGCAGCAAAGATCTTATTTTCACAAGAACAATGAAGGAAAAATACAATAGAACAATAGAACACACTTGCTGAAAATCTTCCCAGTAAAAGGACTGAAAACATCAAGATCACTTCAGCCAGCTAAAATGCTCCTTCTTTTGAAAAAAGTGTCCGGTGTCTGCTCTAGAACACATTGTTGTTGTCAAAACTGCTATTTTACTTTTCAAGCTTATTTGACTCCAAAACATGAAGGAATCAGCTGAAAAAGTGAAGCAATTATATGGAGTGGATCCCATAAATAACTTCCACTAAGTGTTGATGATTGCTTCAATGGAAGGAGATTTGTTTACCTAGCAGAAAGGAGTCATAGCATCTTAATTTTCAGATTGAACTGCTTAAAGTCAGTGCTCTACACAGTTCTGGAAAGCTGAAATCCCAAAAAGCTTGATAGCAGATCAATCCATAATGAATGCAACCTTCAACCCTTATTGTGCAACTACCTTTTTTTCCCTTTCGGTACTACTTTGTTCTGTTGGGTCCTTTAGGAGGATGTCAGGTCAAAGCAAAGAAAGAACATACATGTACATAATATTTGAGATCTGGACCTGAATACTCCAATGATTTAACACAAAAGCAAACAGGCAAATTGAGGTATAGCTAGAATCAAATGACAACCCACTTAGCTCCTACCACACACTCAACACGATAAGATTGTCTTTATTGGACTATTTTTAACATACAGCATACATACAGAGGGAAGAAGGATGGGGAACAGGGGAAATATTGTGAGATTACATGTGCACAAAATATTTACTATCCAACTCAAACCAAAGTTCGAAAAAAAAACATTTTTCTCAAGTGTTCTGATCACAATTTGTAATCTTAACAGCAGGGTGATCAAATAAACTGTTCAAAATTTAACTGACAACAAACTCTAACGATCCTTTCATCAAATTCTAGGAAAACACTGGAGGCTCTGAATCAATGCCTGAAGTCAGTGATAAGGACTAATGAAGACTAATGGACTGCACTAACAAGTTTAAACAGCGCTGGTCAGAAATATGAATCTGATGGGAATTGACTGTGTTAGTCTGGATATATCACTTCAAACAGTGAGGCAGTTCACTCATGTAGATAAGAGCAACTGAGTGATAAATCCGACCTCTGGTTTGGTTTGAATAAAATCAACCTGTAATTCAGTCTGATAAAGATTTTTCTTTAGTATCTCATATTAGAGACAGGTCTTCTACTATTAGATTTGTCTCTAATAGTCTTCCACCATGACAGTCCTTCAGCTCAGGTAAGAAACACACATCACACGGCAAACATGAAAGATGCTGATGGGGCTGAGGTGAGGGAAGAAGTAGCAAAGCTTATTGTTTTCCCAGAGTCCCTGACTCCCGCCAAAAACAGAACACCAAAGGGAAACTGACTGAGAGAAAGAACAGCCTTGCTTGTGTTTTTTTCTCAGTGGAAAGGGCTGCAAAGTCACAACTGACTTATGGCGACCCCACAGAATTTTCAAGACTTGAGTCATTCAGAAATGGTCTGCCATTGCTGTTGCCACCCTGATATTCCTTGGAGGCCTATCCAAATACTAGCCAAGGCCAACCCTTAGGGTTGCCAAATGAAAAAATCCTACCGGCGGGGGAGCGTCCTGCTGCTCCGGGAGCCGGTCTGGAATGTGTGCGTGCGCACGCAAAGCGCGCGCACCACCGGCGCGTCACCGGAAGTGACGTCACATGCTGGGCGGGGCCACGCTATTTGAGGGGAAAACAAAGAGTTTCCCCCTCAAATGGCGTGGCCCCGCCCCCAGCGTGCGACGTCACTTCCGGTGACGCATACGCTGGGGCTGGGTTCCCCCCGGGCCCCGATTCCCTGGCGTCTGGGAACGGAGCCTCTGGGGTGGGGGATTTCCGCCCTACCGGGGGAGTTGGCAGCCCTACCAACCCTGCTTTGCTTCCGAGTTCTGAGGACATCAGGCTAGCTTGGGTTTTCCAAGTCAGGGTGTGTTTTTCTTAAGCTACTTCAAAACCAAACCTGTTATTTCATAGCAGCTAGTAGATGGGGCTATGAACAAGTAGCATATTTTCTATTCCTGTTTATCACACTATGGCACTCCTACGAGTCTTAACAGAGTTACACTCTTGAGATTCATACTAGCATATGAAAGCTCACACCTTGAATAAAACTTTGTTGGCCTTAAAGGTGCTATTGGACTCTTACTTTGTTCTATTGCTTCAGACCAACATGGTCGCCCACCTTAATCATACTAGCATATTGTTTCTTTTTAGTGTTTAAGCTTTATATTTAGGGACTGCTATGAAAAAGTGCAAAGATTTTCCCCCCACTAAGATGGTTTTGATGATCAAGTTCCTGTGTTACTCTGTATGTATTATCTTAAACATAACTGGTGATTTGGCATGGCATAACTGCTATAAAGATTTAATTCCTGTTGCAATTAAAAACAATTGGTCATAGTTTACCAATCATTCTATCATGAATAAATTTATGGCAAATCAATGCATCCCTTTTTTGTTATAAACACAGAACACACATTTTATTTTTATCTCACTTTTCTAGAACTAGCTCAAAGTGATTTATTAAAAAAACTAATTAAAGCAAATTGGAATAAAATAAATTATATTAAAGAAAGACACACTTAACCATTATTAAAGATCAGTTTGGCCAAATGCCTGTTGGAAAAAATAAGATTTTGTAACACTTCCTAAACACCAAAGAGTTCAATTTTCTAACTTCTTCAAGGGAGGAGGTCTCAGAGTTTAATAGCCATCACCATAAAAGCCCCATTTCTAGCCATAAATGTGCCTAGTGTAGTTTAGAGAGAAAATGTCATGCAGTGCCTATTGGCCAGATTTCAGCTGACAAGGGGGCTCAAATACATAGAGGCAGTCCTGGAGGTATGAAGCTCCCAGGTTGACAAAGGACTTCAAAGGTTAAAACCAGTATCGTAAATTGTGCCTAGAAGCAAATTGTGTAACTGGTTCAAACAGGATGAATGCACACACATCTCCCAACCAGTGTTCCCTCTAAGCTGAGTTAGTGTGAGCTAGCTCACAGTTTTTTAGCCTCCGGCTCACAGATTTTTCTCTTAGCTCAGGAAGGATGGCTCCAGAGCAAACTAATTTACGCAGTAGCCGAATCGCTTGCTCACAACTTTAATGCCAGTAGCTCACAAAGTAGAATTTTTGCTCACAAGACTCCATAGCTTAGAGGGAACATTGCTCCCAACCCCAGTGGGTTCCTGTAATGTATCCGCCATTACCACATGCGCGACTGTTGGGCCATGCGGTCAAGCACAAGCCTTTAGCTTTGTTCGTTTAGAACAATAGCCAAGCGGATCCTAGCCCGCACCAATCAGAGGGCCAGGTCCGCAGCCAAGAGCCTATGAGACTCTCGGCTACTGTAAATAACCTATAGGGTGAATAGGGGCGTGTTTTGGTGGTGGGTTTTCTGGGCATATATACCGGCCTGCGAGCCGGCTGTCTTCGTCTTGTTCCTGATTAAATAAAGTACTCTTGCTGAATCACTCCACGTTTCTGAGTACTTTTCAGTTCCATAGTGCAAGTTTATCACCCAAGCAAAGGAAGTAGTCACTTGTGATGTCAGATGACCAGGGGGCACCGAAAGGAGGCAGCAACAGTTGTGGTTTGTCATCAACTGCTAGAGACATTTTGCAACTAGGGCAGCATGAGTAGGGATGCACACTTTCTACCTACTTGTGCTGCTGTTGCCCAGATCTCGTGGGATACGGGGAGCAACCCCCCCACTCATGCCATTGCCACCCATCTTGAAGCTGGGTGGCAGCAGAACTATGGGGGGGGCACATGTCATTCTATATCACACTCCTGCCACATGGGCAGAAAAATTAGTTGAGGCAACCCTGAGGTTCTGAGTCATGGTCAAGGGCAACCCAACACAACTCATTGCACTGGAAGTTACATACCCTTGTATCAGTGTTGTTATTCTGATACATTTTTGGCCCTGAATTGGCACAGTTCCAGCCTCCATCTTCGAACAAAATTGATTTTAGACCTTGATTTTGTGTAATTTGCCATCAAAAAATGTGAGTTTTGTTGAGACTGCAACCACACAGTACCAAGTGATTGTTGTGCATTTAACTAGGAACATCTAACCACAAATAGCTATAAATAATGGGAAAACGCCTCTTAGTATTCTGAGAACTCTTTTATTAAGAGGGGCAACTTGGCCAAAACTTGGGGTCATGACATCGTTGGCAGCGGTCAAGGATCAGGTTGAGAAACTCTGTGCATACTGAAAGTGGGCACTCTTATCTCTTGGTTAAATATAAGTATGGGAGAAGTGCAGCATTTTTTTCCACGAGGAACTGTTTGGTTACTCAGGATGGAGAAGACTAACAATAAGTCTATGTCCAGGCCCATAGCCACGGTGGGGCATTTGGGCACAGAGCCCCACCATCCACGAGCCCTGCCCCACCACCTGATGATGCCTGACACCCCCACCCCAGTCCGCCTAGTCCTGCAGCCGCTGCGAGGCTGGGGAAAGAAAGGGAAAGGGAAAGAAAGGGAAGCTGTTCGGTTTAACAGCTGAAAGGAGGGGAATGAAACTGACAAGAAGCAGCAGAGCAGCTTCCCTTCCCTTCCCCAGCCTCCCTGTTGCTGGGGGGGGGGAAGGAAAGAGAGAAAAGGCCTGGTGATGGTGGTGGGGAAGCTAATCTCTCTCCCATTACTTTCCATGGCAGGGGGGTGAGGTGGGAAGCAAATCTCTTTCTCCTGGGGCTGCCAATCTCCAGGTGGTGGCTGGAGATCCCCTGGCATTACACCTGATTCCCAGGTGGACTGTATGACATTATTTCCCTTTGAAGTTCCTCCCCTCCCCAAACCCCATGCTCCTCATACTCCACTCCCAAAATCTCCAGTTATTTATTATTTTTAAGTATAAGCATAATGGGTGCCCCACAAGTAAAAAAATTGCCCCACAGAATGAAAAATCTTGGCTACAGCCCTGTCTATGTCACAATGCACAAGCAGCCCTCAGGGAGCATGGGGATGGAAGATGGAGGCTCCGGGGGCAGAGGATGGTGCTTCCTCGCCCACTGAAGCCCCAGGGGGAGTGCCTGCAACAACCAGGAAAAAATCCCTGACAGCCCTACGAGTCCAGCATCTCACAATGATGGCTGTTCTGGCAGAGAGGCAGCCCAGCCCAAGAAGGCTGAGGCAGTAGGGCAGGAGAAAAGGAGAGAGATCTTGGTGGTTTGAATTGAGCCATGGCAATGCCTGAAATGAATAGGCTGACTGGAGCAATCCCACCTGATGCTTTGCGGGGTGGGGGTGGGGGCAGAGTTCCAATAAAGTCTTGCTAGAATGGCCCACAAACAGAAGATGCAGAGGCTTCGCCTAGAGGAGATACATCTCAACTTCCAAGCACAAGAAGCTCAGATGGCTTTTGATGGGGCAGGAAATTACCTGTCGATGGAGCAGCAGGAGGGATAGAGAGCAGTTACCAGTGCCACCACCGGAGGGCCAGAGGAGAGCGGAGACATGAAACTCTTCCTGATGATCTTTGAATGGGTGTGCAAGATCCAACAGCACTCAGAAGCAGATTTCCTAAGAGCACTGGCTTCCCAGGTATCAGGCCCATTGTCAGAACTTTAGGGAGAAATGGGGCCAGGAAAGCTGGCAGGCTATGCTTTGTTCAAAGAAAGGGTGAGGGCCAGGTTTAGATTCGGCACCCCATTGTGTGGGCAAGAGTTTCATATCTTACACGGAAGTCCTGGGGAGCCCTCGGTTATCTGATAGTGAGGGCTTTGTGGTTGCTCAACAGACAGATGGATGGGGAGAAAATCACTTTGATATCACAGCTGCTGGAGTAGCTGGTAAGAGAGAAGCTCTTTGATCTCCTCTTGAGGTGGCTGAGAGATCATATTGAAGCAAGGAATCCAGGCACAGTAGTTGCCTCAGCCAAGCTGTCTGATCTTCTGGAGAAGCAGGAGCCAGAGAGACAGCAAGCCTTGTTGAAACTTCTTGTCTCAGCAGGGCCAAAACATCATCTTCTCCCCAGCATTCTGTATCCGGCTCCAAGCCAGCAAGGAAGGGGCCCAGTGCTTGGAGATGCTTCAACTGCAACCCAGCCCAATGCCTATACCATGTAGATGTACTGCTAGATCAACTGGAGAGGGCAAATTTTATCAGCACTTTTGATCTGTCACAGGGTGTTATGTATTGAGCCAGAGTCATCCCTGAACTAGTACCTGGATGTGGTTGAGCCTGTTTCCCCTGAACAACAGCTTACTAGGATCCTGGAGTAGACCAATAGAGAATCAGTAAACAGCCTATCATTGGGACTGGGGTGCGTTTGGGGTGTGGTGATTGCATGCTTAAAAGCAGGGCAGCTGCCCTGGAGTTTGTTCTTGTAGTGTTCCCGAAATCACTTAATAAATTAGAGCTGTTCACTATAATGCATCTTGAATCCAGTATTTAACACAGGGATACTGTCTGATCCAGCTAAGTGCTGAGAACTATACAGGCTTATAGGAACTAAGTGCTGAGAACTATACAGGCTTATAGGAGCTAAGTACTGAGGATCACATGGGCTTATATCACC